AAACACACCAAATATTTAAAGTTTTTCTAAATCAAAATAAATGAGTTGGATATATTACTTAATGTAAATATTTTACTAAATCTAACCTGAAATTATAAAGTTAATATAAACCACTTTTGAATGTTTGAGCAAATTAACTTTTTTAAGTTGCATCAAATAAAGATTTAAGGCATTCATAATTTAAATATAAAACAAATATAAAAACAAAAAAACAATTTGTTTCTTTAAACGTTATTTATTATGGAAAGAACATAGCGAACATCCAAAATGTTAACAATAAAAAATTTTTTCAAAATGTATAAACATTAACAAACACTTCAGTACTAACACCATCGCTCTCCAGTTTTTCAGCAATGGAAAAATAAAAGGTAAGTGAATTTAACAGCTGTAAAGCTGGGTGCTTAGCCTATAAACTTTCGGGGACATCTTTTTCCCACCCAGCTCCATCAGGACTTTTTGAAAAAATTCAAGAGTGTACTGTAGATTTTTTGGATACTTTAGGTTTAGTGCATATATGAGCCCAAAGAGCATGGCAACAGCTGTCGCAACAGAAGGCACTTCATTCAGGACCTGTGTTCCATCGATGACAATCTTAATGTCTTTGGGTGGATGGAAAGGATCCACTCTTCCAGTGACAAATATCACCATGGTTTCCAGCTGCAGTACGACATTTTCTTGCATATCCTGCAGACACACCAAAAGAGAAACAAATGAGGACAACTAAAAGAATGCAGACCTCTGCTAAAGTACAACTGTCTAAATAAAAACCAGTTTTTACTTTTGGAAATTCTGGACAGTTTACTGTACATACTGAAAAGATTTTTTATTCTTTCTATCTAATACATATTCAACAGGTTCCACAACATTGAAGTTTTTTCTGTAGTACATCTTCCGTTTCCAAGCAGTTGACAGTGGGCCATGGTTTCCTATTGCAGCTTGAATGGGATTTGAAGAACAAAGTACAGTGGCTAACTCTTTCACAACAGATTCATCAACTCTGCAACTGTTCTCTTGTAAGAAGTTGAATATAGTATTTTGGGTAACTGGCACAGAGGCAGTTCCAATTAAATATTGCAACTCTTCAAGTAGTTCATTCAAAGCTGCACTTGGCACCAAAAAAGAGTGTTCCAACTTAAGTAAGACTGAAGCTAATTTTACTTCAATAACTTGTGGCAAATCAGTTAATTGTTCATCAGGAAATTCTTCTGATGGTAATTCATCATCTGACTGCTCAGTAGTGCTGCATTCAAATGATTCTACGACAGCAAGGTTATCAACAGGTCCACCAGCAATTCCTGGCTTAAATCGTGAATTGTATGGGGGGTATGATTTCTCCATTTATGAGTTCTGAAAGCACCATAAAGATTTGTTTTATATGAACAACCAACAAACATGCAATTGACAGATTGATAATTTTTCAGATGTGTTCCAATGTGCTGAAAATAGTCCGTCTCATTTGAAAGTTGATTGTTGTCGCAGATGTGGCACTTGAATAGTGAAATACTCTCTTTCTGTGTGGATTTTTGAGAAGGATGGGATTTGCTTAGATGGGTCAGCAAAGCTTTCCATGTCTTGCACGTGCATGGGCAATTCTCATAAGTGCAGGGATAAGAACGGCCCCGTCCATAATGTTGATGATAAAGTTTGTAATGTTTTAGAAGTTCAGATCTTCTTGAATATGAATGGTCACAGTCTTTACATTTCCACGCATGCATTGATAACTGAAGAAAAACATAGGGGGTGATGTGTAAGAAGAACAGGGTTATTGGAGAGTGATCTAATGTTCACAAATGCACTGATGACATTGTACACAGAACTTACCAAAGGTTGACTCAGAACTTCCAAATAGGTTGCACGGCAGAAGTACAATGTATCTGGTGGATGGTTTCCTGAAGTAAAAAGGAAAACTTTATTTAACGTTAGGTATTTTAGAATGATTGTACCAATGAAATAAAATGTATATATGTATATATGGGAGCAGCGTGTGGCTCAGTGGGCTAAGCCGTGTGCCTGTAATCACAAGCCCAGCCTCAGCACGTCTGCGGGTCCTTGAGCTAGACCCTCAACCCCCAGCTCCCTGGGCGCTGCTACAGGTGTGTATGTGTGTGTATGTATGTATGTATGTGTATATATATATACACACATACACATGCATACATACATACACACACATATATTTTACATATATTTTATACTCACGTATATAAAAAAACACAGGACACTGAACTCTTGTTGTTATACATTCCGGTGCCTTGCTGTTTCAAAACACTTTGATCTTATTTTTTTTTTTAAATGCTTCTAAACAGTGAACTATTATAACTCAGCTGCTTCACTTTGATTCAGTGGTTCAGAA